TTTCCAATCTATCTATTCCAGTAAAATTGATTCATGTTTGTGGCTGTAATGTGACAAAATGTGGGAAAGTTCAAGGGGGCTGAATACTTTTGCAAGCCACTGTATAAGACCCATAAAGAGGGCCTCAAAACTTCTTCATAAGGATGTTTATCAGGACAATTCATTTTGAAAATAACTTTTTCATATTTTGTCTTTGTCACAACAATTTCAGTGTTTAAAGTTAAACAGTTTAAGAAATTTAGAAACATTAATATTAGCAGTATTGAGACAGTGGTATAAGTATTCTGTGAATCTACTCTCAAAAGTCCAGTTGTTGTTTTAAAAGAAAAGCTGCCGTTGCTTGGGTGGATTTTTTTAGGTGGGTCTCTGGCTGGGAAAAAATAAACACAGTGAATATCTCTTATCTGCAAACACCATTTGTTACACGAAGCCAAAATTAGCCCTGTCAGGTCTGAGTGGACGGGTTCCTTCCCACATCTGAAAAGAATGAGCTGATTGTTAACCGGCACACAAATCCGACGCGCCATAAATCAAAGAACAAACTGAATTTTCATCAAGTCAAAGCTGCAGTAAACCAGACGTATTATGCATTTCATAATAAGGCAAACCACTCGGGGCATGTGCATCAAACTCAAGGTCCGTCTATCGTTGCAGGTTCTCGGTACGTTTGACCTGCTGTGAAGCATCCTGTGTACACACCAAACATCCATCCATCCATTTTCTGCAGCCTATCCGGTCGTGGGGACAACAGTTTAACCAGACTCCTTCTCCACAGCCACCTCCCACACCTCTTCTGTGGGAACATTGACGAGCTAGTCTAGACTTTGACTGAGTGTCTTGGGTGTGCCCCAAGCTTCCTGCTGCTAGGCCATGCCCAAAACACCTCATACAGAGGCATCCAGAAAGCACCCTGATACTGGAGACTGGTTCTGGAAGACGAGCTGTGCCCAGCGATAAAGCTTGGGCTGTTTTCCCACCTGAGAGCTGACGCTCCATGTCCCAGTAAGCAGTCTGGGAACGTTTTAGGTGACACCCATGAGACCTTAATGACTCACACGATGGTAGGCTGGATGACCTGTGCACTGCAGAGTCACATGTAGATTTCCTTTACACCCGTTAAGAGTGATGAGAGACTAATTTATGCTTAATAGGCTGTGCAACATTCGTAATGAGTTCCAAAAACCTTGATTTGGCTCCATGCAGATAAAAATTGTTTATTTTGGTCAAAGATTGCTTAAAAATGTCTCCTTTGATTGATGTTAGATGAGTTGGAGCTCGCAGACTTCCTGTTTAACTCTTGACATGTTGCTCATTTCCCCGTGCAGCTCAACACATTCTCAGGTTCAGGAATATGGGATCATAGCATATATAAGATGAGTTATAAGATGTCCATTTGGATATCCCAAACAGGTAAAATTATAAAGAAGGAAGCAAACGTGAAGCCAGACCTAATGTAAAGGCGGTTATTATCAAGTGCACAGTCGGAACAAGTGCTTTCTGCACTAAATGAGCTCCTCTTGGGGTTAAAACACAAACTGAACAGCCCTAATATTCTCAGGTTCCAGTCCCACTGAGCCTCTCTCTGCCTCCACCTCCTCAGTTCAGTGTTTTGGGGATGGGGGTGGGGGTCATACCACTGGTATGCCTCAGCTTTGATTAAAGGAAATGCTTACATCAGTCCTTCTCCAAGAGAAACAAGCCATCCGCTCGGCACAGATGGTTTTATCCAATAGCTCGCGAGCTTCACGGGCAGGCAGGCAGACAGGTGTGCTCGCTGCTGACGGTAGGAGGCACACGCACACGCACGTTACTGCTGTTGCGTGTGTTCTGCAGCAACACCATCGATGCAGTCATCTCTACAGCTTCACACATTGTCAGGTTTTCCTCAGAGTCTGCGCTTTCTCGAGTAATCAGAGGAGGCAGAGAGAGATTATGAAACAACCAGACCAGGATGTGAACATGTTCAAGGCCCCGCGACCCCGTTATAACGCACGTCTCCCTCACTGACTCTGAACAACAAAGAACTGATCGTTTCTAAAAGTCTGATTTAACAATTAGGAGAAGCTGAGAGTGATACTTTCTTTTCTACTGTTTATTGTGAGGAAATGAGAAAATCTACAATATTAAATATATTAAATAAATATGTGACAGTATATGGTTATATGATATATTTTGAGCATGCACGACCAGAAGAAGAACCTGCTGGGGCAGACACGGACTCCTGAGAGTCCCATTGGGAATGCTGGAGCAGAGCGAGGCTGAGGATCTCTGCAAACTCTGTAGTATCCACAGCCCAGGCTCAGAGCAGCAGCTAAGGACGGATGGATGCTAAATGGACTGGTTCTTATAAAGCGCTTCATACCTCGCGCCTTATCCACAGCCATTCATACAAGCGGTTTCTTCCATGCTCAGGTGCTTCACATCACTCCGATGGATCCTTGGTTTAGGATATTTGGCCTGCAGGCATCTTTTCACCAACCTTCCAATCCGATGACCTTCTCTACCTCGTGAGCTGCAGACACCCGGGATGGATAAATGCAGTGATGCATTTATAAGTGAGCTGACAGTGTTTCTAGTTACCTGTAACTGTTGTGTTGTAAGTCTGCTTAGGCTGTTTGTTTGTTTTAGGACTTACATAATAATAATTGGTCAAACTGGTTCTTCCTCAAGTGGCGATGAAACCCTTGAGGCTTGCTCCAAAACCAGTCAGTCCCCACAAACACCAGTATGAACCCCCTCCAAGGTCATCAGCTGACCCTGTGCAAACAGAGCTGTTTTTTTTTTAACTTTTGACAGTTAGCACCTATGATAGCCCCTCTGGGGCTTAAAAGATGCCGCTTTAAAGCAGAAACGAAGATGTTTACATGAAGATGTTGCTACAGAAATAATTTTGGTAACTGAAGTCCCCGAACTGGATCTTTGGACCAGTTTGTGCTGTTTTGGAGTAAGGTACATGTCGGAGTGATGCAATTATCTCTGTGGTTAGCCAGATCGTCCGAGACGTCTGTGCTCCAGTTTTCTTATCTTATTTTATGGGGCTTAGTGCTAACTTACAGATATGTACAATTTATTAATGCAGCTGATAATCTACAGCCTGCTCCGGCTCCAGAGGAAAAATGCTGACACTGAGATTTCAAAACGTGGAGTCCACAGCTGTGGTTACATCACATAGGCTTTGACCATCTTTTATATGTAGACACCCAGATGATGAATTCAGCGCCTGCAAATCTACTTGCAGAGTCTATAATAAAGAGATGAAGCTGGAAATGAGCACATCAGGTCCCCTTTAATAGGCACAAAGTTAAAAAACCCGACTCCTCGTAATTTTAACTAGACCTTTGCAACAGTTTATCAAGCCAGCCAAGTAAAACACTCATGTTCCACATCAAACAGTCATTCCTGGGTTAAATTGTAAATTTGGCAGCTGTAAATCTCACAAATTCCTCCGATAGTTTAGTCTGCAGATCCTCGAGGGGGTGGGGGGGCAGAGGTTTTCACTGATAGGAGTTTGGAGCTCAGTCAATTAGACATTTTTTTTTATTGAACACGAGTTTATGCAGCTTTCCCAAATTTGGAGCAGGTCAGATGAGCACTTCATCCCTGGCTCGTATTTATACATCAGAAATTCTTGACATGCTTTACAAAAAGGTCTTGGATAAGGCATACAAATGACTTCATCGGATAAGTGCTGGAAAAGAGCATTTTTAAGTATAACACTTCATTTTTCCAAACTCTTTACAACAATCTGCAAATTGATACGAATCTAAGAAGAAGGAAAAAGTCCGTCGAAACAGTCCAAACTAGTCTTTTTCCATCGGGTCGTGTTTCCATTATTTGGATTGTACTGGATGCATATTGCTCATCACTACCAACGTCAACATTACACAGTGAGTGGGCGTTTCAGAGCATCACCTCCGTGAGTTTATCTTCATCTGTTTAGTCTTAAATAGTTTCTGGTATGCATTCTTGTAAGCCCGCTTGAGTGTGAGGAGTAATGTGCGTTGCGTAGCAGCGAGCCTGAAATACCAACTCCAGTTTTAGCTGCTACCTGCACCCGCACGACTCCACCACCATGTCCTCGTATTGCTTGTAGACGACGTTATTGGCCGAGTCGATGTAGAGGATGCTGATCGGGCTGAGCCGTGTCGGGACGCAGCAAGTGGGCGGCGTTGACTCCGGGTCCATGGAGTTAATCAGGGTTTGTATGATGGCGTGGTTGGTCGGCTCCAGGTGTGAGCGGATGGGAAAATCGCAGGCGCCGTCGCAGTGATAGGCGTCGTACTCCAGCGGCGCGATGATCCAGTCGTCCCAGCCCATCTCCTTGAAGTTGACGTGGAGCCGTCTCCGGTGGCAGCGCAGCCTGGCCTTCACTGTCTGGTGCTGGGATATGGACTGCGGCAGGGACTGCTGCGCGGGTTTCTTGGCTCCCCTCGCGGCAGGTGCCCGTCTCATCCGTCGCTGGGTGAACAGGTACTCGTAGACTGTTTTGTTGTCGTGGCCGGACCGCGCTTTGATCTCTTTGTAAAAAAGGTCACGCTTCTTGCTTTTCCCAAATGCCAAGAAGAAGGCTTTTTCCTTGTTGGTCCTGCCGTGTCGAGCGAATCCCAGAGCGCGAAGGTCCATGGGGCGACCGCCTCCGTGCTCCAGCGCTTCCAGTTCAAAGCACAGCTCCTGGGAATGCTGGCCTTTCTGGGTTTTGAAGCCCCTAAAGACCTTCCAAACGTCAAACACTTCCCATATGCTGCTGAACAGATCCTCTACGGTCTTCACCTGGACAAGAGCGGCCTTTTGTTTGCCTGAAGCGCAGGTGTACAGCCTTAGGAGCGGTGACGGGACTCCTCCTCCTTCTCCTCCTCTGTAGCCTATCAAGACTCTGCGAGGGTCAGGCAGGCGCTTCCTCAGGATGTGTAGCTCGGCCCCCAGGAGCCCATCCCTTTCCAGAGAGCTGATGTTGAAGAGATACCTCTGCCGTCGCAGCTGGGGCCCACGTTCATCTGTGATTAGAAACGGAAGCTCAGGTAAATATTCACAGACAGGCAAGAAGAAAAATAGTACAACACAGCAACTAAGGACTGTTGAGTAAATGAATGAATCATCAGCTGTTGGCCACCGTCAGGTCATGAAATACACTGACAGCTCCATACACTTCCATAACTGTTTCTTTCTTTTTTAACTAAATCTTTTACGAGATCTCCCTACTTGAAATCTTCATTGAACCCATTTTAATAATCCAGATATTGTCTGATCTCAGCTTTTGAAATATAAAGAGATACTGTACTTTCATTCAGTGCTGCTCCCCAGACTATAGACTTTCATTCATGACCCTTTTTATCATCCCAATCTTGGTATTGAGCTGTGCGTCTGACTGTGAAACCAAGTGATGCTGAAGACTCACTGGACAGGGATTTGTGATTGGCATGTATTTAGCCAAGCTGGAGCCTAACCTGGATAAACATCCTTTCTCTTAGAATGACCATAATGTAGAAAATAAGTCTTCTGCATTGGCTCTGCTGTTATTCTTTTATACCAGCTCACTCCCGAGGCATAACATGCCGACGTTTTGTCACGTCCCGCGGCGTTCCTGAGGAACGCGAAAGGAGACCTTCGGCATTCTTATGGTACGCAGCAGGTTATGGCTGAAATCCAGTGCAATGACGCTCCCGCGGTAATAGACGTTCCAGCCCTGTATTCCAGCCCTAAACCTAACCTTATTCCTGACATTAACCATGACTTTAATGACGTTAAATAGCGTGTTTTGAAGTGATTTGGAGAAAAAGAGCAAACGTGTAGATTCAGTCCAGACGGTTCTCATATTTCCTCATTTTTTCGAGGTCGTCATTTAGGAACGTGGTGGGTAGCCGAAAACGTAATATGTTGACGATTTGTCACCTAGCGTAAAATGTTACGCTTTGGGAGTGAGAACGTGTTGTTTATACTGTTCGTGGGCGATCGTGGCTCAAGAGTTGGGAGTTCGTCTTGTAATCGGAAGGTTGTCGGTTCGAGCCCCGGCTTGGACAGTCTCGGTCGTTGTGTCTTTGGGCAAGACACTTCACCCGTTGCCTA